GGATTCGAACCTGGAATCTTCTGATCCGTAGTCAGACGCGTTATCCGTTGCGCCACAGGACCGGCCTTGATTTGGTGTATTATATATTATTAGAAATATAACATATTGTTAACAATATAATAAATATAATTAAAATAACATTTATTAATTTAAATAATAATTAATAAAATAAAATTTATAAACATAAAAAGTTTAATTAAGATTATAATACATGTATACTTATATTTATAAATGATATTAATACAATATTAATATAATAATCAGATATGACAGTAACAATTTATGATTTAAAAGATATAAATATTAATTTTTTATGCTACATTCGAAATTATTTTTTTAAGAATGCCAATACTAATTTTGATTTATCTATATATAATAATCAAACAAAATGGAGATATAATTATATCAATGCAGACTCATTGATAGGTAGATAATATGATCCGGCAAAATAAATGATAGAAAAATTTCAATGGAATACGTTAGAATTTTTTATCAAAAATAGATAAAAGCAAAGATAAAAAAAAGATTAAAAGCAAATGACGATATTTAAATATAATACGTTAAATATTGCAAATGTTTATAATAAAAATAATATATATTTAAGATGTAATCGACTGTGTTTGCCAATTAATATATCATATTCTTTAATTTCTATAATTAACACATAGTTAATTATAGAAATAATCTAATTTAACTGATAATATAATTTATTTATTTTATTGATTTTATATCAATAATAATTAATATGTATATAATTTAAAATAAATTTAAAATAAATTGATCTATTAGCATTAAATAATTTATAGAGTAATAAAGATAGTAATTATTTATTAGTGATGATTGCTGTTCAGTATAGCATCTATCTAGAACGGTGTAAAATTTCAGATGTAAAGCGATATGTTAAGCTTGGTATTTGTAATATGAAGCATATGATATTTATTGTGCAAGTATTTCAATTATTTTTTTTATGTTCTTCTTAATAATCTTTTAAAATACTAACATATTTTATAACAATAAAAAAAAATTAATCGATATAATCGATAAATTTAAATTTAAATTTTGATGCTATTTTGATTAATTTTTTATCAACATGTATATTTTGCTAATATATGATTTTATTTTTATCATTAGACTACATTCAATTAATAAAGATTGAATTAAAAAACAATGATAGCCTTCAATTTTAATAACGAACATGGTATTAATAATATAAGAAAGAAAACAATGTGAATAGTACAATTATCGGCAAAGAAGTAAACTGTAATTATCAATTTTTAAGCGAATTATTTTATCTGAAAAATAAATATATAATATTTTTCGCAAATTTATATTTGAAAAAAAAATAATTAAACTTTTAACAAAAGAAATATTATTTATGAAAAAAGAGAAATTATTTATGATAAATAAAAAATTTCATTGTAAACAAAATATTTCATATTTTCTTCTTTCAAAATGCAATATTGTGCTTGAGAGTGGCGTGGATTGCTTTTCAACTACGCATGCGTGCAAGCGTCTGCAGATTTTGCTGGAACCGATGTTAGCCGAATGCGATCGAAACTATACGAATAGCAAGCCTAAGTTTCCTGTGATCCAGGCCGACGCGACGGTTAAAAGAGACGAAAAGTGGGGTTAGGTGTAGTAAAGGGACAAGAGAGGAAGAAGGAAAGAGTAAAAGAGGAAGAAAGAAAAAGAGACGAGTTTTCTCATATTGTAAGTGGGGATAGAATCTTAGTGTGCAGCAGAAGGAACGTATAGTTTTGCGTCTCCAACCAGGCTGTATACGATCGACAAGCGAGATAGAGAGAAGACGTTGTACGGTGTATGCAAGAGAGAAGAAACGAATTGACAACGCGAACGTTAGACAGAGAAGAAAATAAAAGGGAGCAGCTTGCGGAACGGCATGTCCTCGCGTGCTCGTGTCGTACAGAGTTTCTGAACGCAGCCATTACGACACAACCGCTCTCGGTGACGCTTTGCTGCGGTAGAACCGTATTCACGCGCGCAGTGGTCACGGAACAATCGAAACTGGACACACGTGTTTTTGAAAATACGAACGAAATTTAAACAGTGTTACATCAGTAACGAAGAAGAATACGTCTATTAACGTGAGAAACGAATTTTTTAAAAGCTGTTTGTTTTGTGCGTGTACAGGGTGGCTTAGGGACGCCTCTTGACGCGCGGCGTCACGTCGCGCGGGTCATTAATAACCCAAGAGTGTCCAATTTGATTTGATAAATAGTCTGATAAATTCGCGATTGAAATAAATCGCTTGATTTCTTGTGATATCGGTTTAAAAAGAGAAAATTATCAACCATGTTTGATGTATTTGGATCCGTAAAGGGACTGCTAAAGCTCGACAGCGTTTGCATCGATAATAATGTATTTCGGCTGCACTACAAAGCGACGGTGATCATATTAATTGCTTTTTCATTATTGGTTACATCCAGACAGTATATCGGAGATCCCATAGATTGCATCGTAGATGAAATACCACTTCATGTAATGGATACATACTGCTGGATCTACTCAACATTTACGATTCCTGATCGAACCGGTGTCGTTGGCAAAGACATGGTGCAACCAGGTGTTGCATCTCACGTTGAGGGTGAAGACGAAATCAAGTATCATAAATATTATCAGTGGGTGTGCTTTACGCTCTTCTTCCAGGCAATATTGTTTTATGTACCACGTTATTTGTGGAAGACCTGGGAGGGTGGTAGAATTAAGATGCTAGTCCTGGATTTAAATTGTCCTGTAATGAGTGATGAATTTAAATCGGAAAGAAGAAAATTATTGGTCGAGTATTTCGCGACGAATTGGCATACACAGAATTTTTACGCATTTCGTTTCTTCTTGTGCGAAGTGTTGAACTTCGTTAATGTAGTTGGCCAGATCTATTTCATGGACTTTTTTTTGG